TTTAACAATTGCATCCATGTTAAAGCTGTTGTATGTCTTCAAGAAGGGTATTTTAATTTAATACGTGAAATCACAATTATACCATGTATCAAAAAGGTTAAGTTAAGAACGACACACACAGTCTTCATGTTGGCGACTGTTGATTGAGTTAATCTTGGATTAAAGTTAATGGGAGTTGGTTAAAGTGGCCCTTAAACTAACTAGTACTGTAAATATAAAAGTAAGGAGAAACTGATACATACATAATTCGTTGGAAAAACTTTGGGGTAACAATGTATGAGGGAAGTATTGAAGGCCAACGGAGGAGCCACGGATTAATTGTGCTCAGGTTGTTCAATGGTTGGTTGTTCAGTCGTACGTTCTATTGGCATGTGGTTATTGCTGAAAAAATAAAAAATATATTCCTTTTAGTTTGGAGTTTAAAGTCTGTCGAGAAAAAGTGCGCAATCTTTGAAATACTCTCTGTATACATAATGATAAAAACTTATAAGTTTTATTTTATGAAAAAATGAACCCCAACCTTTGTCGATTTTGCCGTCGTTTCTCATTTTCGAACCTGTGTTTTGCATGTCGAAACCAATCCTTACATTTAATTTCAAATTCTTTCTCCGTTACATTAGGGAATGTTTTCCTGACAACTTCTGCAACAAACAGTTTTCATAAATGTTACAACATATACTTTTACATTATTTGTAAAAAAATATTTTAACTTACTAAACATTAACTTCATTATTTCAAAATGATGAAGCTTCCGTTTTCCTTTTCCTCCTATCCAACTGTACAAACTAGCTACTTCATTTGTAAAAACAAAAATAAATATTCTTTTCGACATTTCTTCATAGCTACTTCCACCAATACTTGCCAATATGTTAAACTGAAATATTTTTCGTATTATTTCAAAAGCATACATAGAACAAATATATGTGTGTGTGTGATATATATCACACACACGCACACACTTTATCATCATACTATCATACTCACCATACGATCTTTTAATTCTTCTTTATCTGTGAGAATTTGTTGCAAATATTCAATTTCCCCTATACTTTTTAGAGGAAAAGACAATTTATTCAAGTCGTCATTTGGTGAAGGACTACGTGTCCAATATTCTCGTGTCGGACAAAAAACATATGAATCCAACTTTGTTAATATAAGTTGATATTTTTCCGTTAGACAACCGATATCAAATTTTATATCTGCCAACGATCTCTCAATACGTTGAAGATAATCTAATAACAAATATATATATAAAGTTACATTGAGACTCATATTAGGTAAAATAATTAATTCTTTAAGAACTATCGTTAGCAATTAGACAGCAAAAAGTTTGACTTCCACCAAAAGTTTGATTTGCATTTTAAATAATATTAGCGTTAAAGAAATATACATATATTTTTAGAAATGGTTTTTGTATACTGTACTATTGTATTTTTATTTAAAGAATTAAAGGAAATAAAATGTTTTTCTAAACAAAAAAGCAGAATGTTGAATAATAAGCTAAACAAGTAGATTCCTTAGAAGTGCTAATTAACATCATTTCTGAAAATGTATGATATCGAATTATGTTGTACTTACTTCTAATCATAATATCTTCATTTTCTTTTTTATCTTCCTTTTGTTTTTTATTTTTTGTTTGTCATCTTCTTTATGTTTTGTATCTGAAACAGTATAAAATTATATTATAAGGTTTTTTTTTATATTATAACATATGATATTTTTTATATTATAACATATATCATATTATTATATTATAACATATGATAAGTATATACTGCGACGATTATTCTCTTTTCTTAATTTCGTCCGTCCTCCCGTGATACGTGGACGGACGGGTGTTGCCGTCCCGCTCTCGCTGTCGCGCGCGGGTCTTCGTCGAAGGTGCGCGCCGACGACGGGGAGTGTGATCGCCGGGCGCGAGAAGCGCGGGATGCGGACGGATCGAGTCGTCGTCAAAAACTAAGGGGGAAATGATAACGCGCCGGAAAGGAACAGGATCTCGGTAGCTCCGCGCGTACCGTGCCGAAAGCCGAAGGCCCGACGCGAAAAACGAAGATTGGGCGCCAGACGCGGTCTTTCACGCGTCACGTCGCGAAATCCGCGAAATCGCACAAACGATAGGGAGCGGCCCTCGTCACGGGCAGGCTAGCTCGCCTAACGGTAGAGGGGCGGGGCGGTGGTTGACACTAAAAGATTCCAGAGGCTACGGGACTCAATAGATTCACACGACGGACGAGACACACGAAGAGAGACGTACACGAAAAGAAACTCAAAAAACTAATATAAATAAAATCGGGTTTAATATAAAGCGGCATTAACAAGCCGGTTGAGTGGCCGCTACAACGGGCGGCGGCGCAAGCGAATATAATACCAGCCCCGGGATCGGGGGAGACAACTCGCCGCGATACTCTCTGCGACACGGGACAATCCGGCGCGAACTCAACGGCAGAAATTATCCGTACGCGATAAACCCTACTCGGACGACACGGACGCACTCGACAGTAATTTCCTCGCGAACGGTACGCAGACCGTCGCACACGTAACACTCGGCCGGGGCGCTTTGCCCGCGAGACTGGGTACTCGGGCCGACGGATTGGCCCGTCTTACAACGACGTGCAATCTTCCGCCGGGCAGTCCCCGACGGCTAACTACGGCGAGCCTCTCGCTCGCTCCCGGCCGCGCCGGCCGCGCTGGTCGGCAGGGGACCCCGCTCAGGACGCACCGTCCTCACGAAACCCGCCACCGACACCGGCGGAAGCGGCACGGGGGATCGCAAACACTCACCCAACCGTTCGCACTCTTTCGATCGCCGCGGCTCTATGGCAACGTACCCTCGCGCCACGCATGCACGCGACACTCCCGCGGCATGCGTACCCCGCGTGATCTCGCGCAACGCAACCCTCGCGCCGCGAATCTCCAGATCGGCGGACAAGAATCCACGCGATCGCGAGACTCGACTCACACGCGCTCACTCGCTCACACACAGAGACCTGTGCCCTGCGGGCTCCGGGGAACCGCGGCTGCTTGTCGCCGCTACCGGGACACACAACGAAAATCTAAAGCCGGCGGGCCGTAGCCCAGGCGACACCAAGCGCGAAAATTTTCCGGCGACGACAGAACAACCCGGGCCCGGACGCAATCGCACGAGGCGAAACGGACGGAGGACAATCTCACCGGCACCCTCGGCTCTCCCGGGTTCGTCAGGCGGCAACGGCTCGTCCTGACCCTCGGACGCTCGCAAATCGGCGGTAGAGCGACGGCAGCGGCAGACCGGAGTCCTCACTCGTACAATGTCGGCAACAGGCTGCTTCCGAATTTTCCGCGATCGCGGATCGATAGTTCGGAGCCCCCCTCCCCTGCGGCTGCTCACGCGAGGCGCGTGCCCCGCGGCCAATCGCGCGACGGCGCGCGACAACGCCGGCAGCGATATTTTCGAGGTCGGGCGCAGGTGCCCGCGGTATCGCCAAATCTTCTCGCGGCCTTCTCTTGATAGGGCTGTCGCAGCGGCTCCCCCGCTGGCGCCCCTCAGTTAGAGTGCCATGGGCCCTGGGCTCCTTCCTCCCGGCTCGCCGCTTCGCGCATTCCGCTCTGGTTCCTCACGCCTTTCCACCGTGCCTGCCGCGGAATTTGTCCGTTGGCCGGACCTCTCGCTTCTCCTCTGCCCTCGCGTCCATCCATACTCACACGCTCGGATTCGTCATAACAAAAAAAAAAACAAATAATCAGTCATAACGTCGGGACTACAAAAGTGCTAACGGTCGCCTCTCTGGAGGCTGCGGCACGGTTTCCCCTAATCGCGGCCTGTTGCCCTGAGGGAGGAACCCGGGGGACGCGCACGCGGGACGGCAACGTCACAATACATATATTTATAAGATGTTAGAATAAAAAAAATGGTAAATGTGC